CCCCTCACCTGCACCCTCAACCCGACCCTGCAGCCGTCACGGTGATGTCATCATATGGAGGCGCCCTCGAGTCCCTCCACATTTCAGGGTTTAGCGGCCTCACAGTCGACGGCTTCGCCAAGCTGGCGGCCATGACTAACCTCACGAGCCTCGTCTTCCGCAACGCTTGGCTCTCTGCCGACCGCGCCGCGCCCCTTGCCCCGCCGCCGGCGGATGCAGTGGTGTCCGGGGGTCACGGCGGCGGCGATGGCGCCACACACGGCTGCCCAGTGGCAACTGTGCAGAAGCTGCGGGCCCTGCGGCTGGAGCACTGCACGGGCATCGACGCGGCGATGGGGCGCGTGTTGGGGACGCTTCGGTGGCTCGAGCGACTGGTCTTTCATGACTGCCCTGATTGCGGGGAGGGGGCGCTGCTGGAGCTCGCGGCAGCTGCCCCAAAGCTGGCACGCCTGGAGGTGTTCTCATGCGCCAGGGCGGGGGAAGGGGTCCGCGCCGCCGTGCTGCGTGCGCGCGAGCGCGCCCGTGGAGACGCATTGGCGGCGCGGGCGCGCTTGCAAACGGCCGTTGCGGCCGGGATGGGGTGCGCTGACATGGACGGCGGTCATGCGGAGTGCTTGGGCGGCGCTGCCGGCGAGGGTGGCCGGCCCCTGCCAGCCGTTCCTGAGTTGATGGATATGGTGTGGGACGGCGGGTCGCCAAGCGGTGAGGCGGGCAGCTGGTGATGCAGCCTGTGTCCTGGGAAGCATCGCCACTTGGGCCTAACGAATAGAGCCAAACGTAGGGGGCCCTATTCTGTGCGCTGTTCTCCGCCCAGTAGTATGGAAATTCAAGGTTTTCAAAAGAGCGCCCGGGCAAGGTAGGCGGCGGGGCAGCACTGAGCAGGCCGGCCACACATGGGGGAGGCAGCGCAGGAGGCGAGGTGGGCGGCCGGGTGGTTTGCACAACGGCCGATGTGTGATATGGCTGTGGGGCCTGGCGATCTGACACGGCCGGGAGGCCCGGCAATCATCAGTTGCAGCAAAATGAATGTTGATTCATCAGAAGTTGAGCCGCTGAGGTCCCATTGCCAGGCCCATGCAGACTAGCGCTTTGGTGCGTTCGTTTTTGTTGGCGGCTTGACCATTGACCAGGCATGAAACAAGGAAGAGCGTCAGCGCCATTGCCCGAGCAAATCATTGCGGGTCGTGGGATTCATTTGTGATTGTTGCGATGCGGGCGGTCCTGCAGGACGGGGCCTCGCTCGTCGCGTGTCACTTGTGAACGCACCCGCCACGCGTATCGAGGCAGGGACTTACATGAGGCCAGTAATAGCAAGTTGTATATTTGATCATCAACATATGGGTGTCATCTCCACTTGCTGCAAGCCTACCGCTGCAGTCGCCTGCCTGAAACATGCGGCCGAGCCTCGCTTCTGCACGCGCAGCATCGTCTCAAGTATGTAAGATGCTACTGAATGTCCGTCATAGTGCAGGCATTCGCCCGTGCGGCGCATTCAGCAATGGCAGCAGCGGCGGCAGCAGTGCTGATGCTGCAGACGGTCGGCCCGCCCGCGCACGCGGCCGTGGCAGGACCGCTGCGCCGCCGGGCGCCTCCCCCGCGGCGCTCAGGGGCCGCTTCAGCCGCAGACATGCGCCCGAGCAGCCGGCGCCTGTGCAAAAACGGCGGGCGCCTCTTTTTTCAAACGAACCGAGCGACCTGCCGCCGCCCCTTGAGCGCCCGACCGGCGCAGGGACTGATTGGTTTCTTGCGCCGGCTGGGGCCCCAGCCGTTGAGGAGGCCGTTGTCAACAACGGCCCTATCACCAGCAGCAGCGATGATGATTCCCCTGAGACGCCGCACAGCGAGGTGCGAGAGTCCCAAGGCGCTCCGTCCAGCAGCAGGGTCAGCAGCAGCAGCAGCAACAGCGGCAGCAGCAGCAGCAGCAGCAGCAGCAGCAGCAGCAGCAGCAGCAGCAACAGCAGCGGCGGCGGCGGCAGCACCACATTCAGCAGCCACAGCGCCCAGCAGACAGCAGGCGGCAGCAGCGGCGGCCGCAGCGGGGACAGCGGCGAGGCGGCTGGGGAGGTTGCTGCTGAGCTGGCGCGCCTGACGCCGCAGCAGCTGCAGCAGTTGAATGACTACCTTGACCACATGCTGGAGATCAACAAGAGCATGAACCTCACAGGTGGGGGCCGGTGGGGGCGTGCATGTGCGTGAACCTGCCTGTGTTTGTGTTTGTGTGCATGGGCCTCTATGTACGTTCGTGCCTTTTTCGCGTGTGTGCATGCGTGGTATTTGTGCCCGCCATACTATGACATACATCTGTGTGTGTGTGTGTGTGTGCGTGCGTCCGTGCCTGCGTGCGTGCGTGCGTGTGTGTTTGTCCAAACCTGGGGAGCGCACGTGAGGCGTAATGGCAGGGCGGAGCTGACGGACTCATCAGGCAGCGCGCGTGCGCCTAGCGCGGACGACGCCCCTGGCGCGTGTCAATCTCGTCCGCAGCTTGGACCGATGTGTGCACCATTTTGCTGCCGCTATCCGCACTCTGAGAACAGCCGCTTGAAACCCCAGTCCCCACACAGTCACAGTGTGCACAATTTTGCATTGCCCCGAACCCCCCCGGCCCTCGACAAACGCGTCCGCAGCAATCCGCGAGCGCGGGGAGGCTTGGAGCCGCCACATAGAGGACTCCCTGGCCCTGTTGCCCGTCATAGAACGCAACTGCCCCGGCGCCAGGGCCCGCGGCGGCGGCTCCGGCAGGCCGTTTCGCGTGATCGACGTCGGCTCTGGCGCGGGGCTGCCAGGGATGGTCCTGGCCATTGCCCGGCCGCACTGGCAGGTGCGTGGGTGCGTGCTGGCGTGCATACGGGCGCATGACAGTATGCATCCGGCGGCCTCGCCAGAGCCTTGCCTTTTGTGACAAGCGCACCGCAAACGCACGCGCCCGGTCCCTGGACCATTTGCGAAGGCTGCCTGCTCATCAATGGAACCATCCGTCTGACTTCCCTTCCACCGAGCGCCCGGGCGCGCATGCGAACCCCTGAAAAGCTCGCTCACCCGTCTTTGCGCCTTCCGAGGCCCCACGCCTCTCTCTCGACCCCCGTTTGCTCCCTCGCACGACCCCCGTTTACTCACCCCCAGGTCACCCTCCTGGACTCCCTCAAGAAGCGCTGCACATTCCTGGAGGGCGCCGTCGCCCTCACGGGCGCCGCCAACGTGTCGGTCGTGTGGTCCCGCGCGGAGGACGGCGGCAGGCGCGAGGGCCTGCGCGGCGGGTTTGATTTGGCGGTGGCGCGGGCCGTGGCGGACACGCGCGTCCTCGCTGAGCTGTGCCTGCCCTTTGTGCGCGTCGGCGGCCACTGGGTCGCGGCAAAGGGCGCCGCGCCGGGGCCCGAGGTGCGCGCGGCGACGCGAGCGGTGCGGCTGCTGGGCGGGGCGGAGGCGTTCCGGACGGAGGGGGTCGACAGTTGGGCGCCAGAGGGGCAGCGGACGGCGCTGGTGGTGGGGAAGGAGCGGCCGACGCCGGCGCTGTACCCGCGGCCGGCGGGGAGCCCCAATAAGAAGCCCCTGTAATAGCCGCCGCGTTTGCAGAGCGGCTCGTTGCAGCTGTGCAATCTTGACATGGTTGGGCTTGGCGATAACGCGTCAGCCACCTGCACCACTCAGTCAGCCTGAAGGTCACATGGCTGGACGCGACCATTCACAGTTGCACAGCAGCCCCCCAAACCTTGTACCAGGGTTTGGGGTTTCGTCTTGAGTGCATTACTCTTGGATTCAGCGCGACGGCAGCCTACAGAAGGGACTAGCTGTGCACTGCATGCGAAGCAAAGCTCTACGACTCAGGCAAGCAGTTGCGGCTTGTCAAAACCACACAAACACACACACCCGTCTTGTCATCGTTCGTGACCGAACTGAACCAACACACCTGTTGCGTGGGGCGTCGGCCGTGTGCGCACGACACGCGGTGGTTGGGAGGGCCTTGCTTGTGGAACAACGGGGTTGTGGGCGCAAAAGACCCTAAAGTGTGCGACCAGGAGTGCCCTCGGGCTTTGAGTGATCAGGCCTCATCAGGACCACCCTGCCCACGATACTAAGCGTGTGCCTAGTCAATCCCCAGCCTAAGCCCGAAACCCTGCAACGATGGGGACTAGTTGCCCAATCCCTGGCGACAGTGCACAGTATGCAGACGGCTACATAAGTCAGCAGGCCCAGCCTCGCAACCCCCGCCACACCACCTCCGATGGACTGTGCACGTGAGACGTGAAACGAGACGCGGGCGCGCGCCGCTCCATCGCCGCTGCATCGCCGCCACGCGCGTCGCCGCCCAGCCCAAGTCTGGGAACCCGGGCGGGGAGGGGCGGAGCCAGGCGCGAGGCGGGAGCAGCAGGCGGGACGGCCGGGGAGAGGTTTCGGGCGCAGTGCTCAGTGCTTCTAGGCGCTCCTCGCCGAATACGGCCGCAGGGGCGCCAATGAATGTCGGTTTTCTGGTGGAGGGTTGGTGTTGTTTAGACGGGCGCACCGTGAAACGAAGGTGCGCAGCCCGCCGGCGCGCCGGCGCGGGCACGGCCGCCGGTCAGAGCCATCCCTACAGCCAAAGCGCTCGTCAGGGTATGCGGCGACGCGGCTGCAAAATCTAATTTAGAAAGTGGGGGGCGATGCCGACGCCGGCGGCCGCACGGGCGGCGGCGCCGCGGCCCATACCGCGAGGCGCAGAGTTCCAAGAACGAAGCTGCACCACGCCCATACCGGAACGTAGCTGGATGTTGTAGGCAGCGCCATACCCATGCGCAGCCCGACAAATGCAGCTCCATACCCGTGAGCAACGCGGGGG